ATTACTGTGCGCAAAATCATTAATATTAATACAGCGGCCAATCTTGAAAAACACATCTGACAAAACTGGATCAATTACGGCGTTAATTAAATTATAATAAATTCAGTTTGTTTCTTAAGGTAACGTTGGTCAAAAACAGGTTGTGTCAATATTTTGTTTTATCTTTTTGGTTATTAGCAAATTCCGGTCATTAGCAAATGAAATAATTGCAATTTTGAAATATTAATTTTGGCTTTTTGAAATTCTATTTGGCAACCCACACTCACTTTAATTTCCTTTACTTGGCGTTTTTGTCAAGACATTTTTTTGTTTTGTTCAAAGCGGTTAAAAAAGTAAAACTTAAATATCAAAATACAAAAAGCAATTAGCCGAAATTCTTTTTTTTTAAATTGTAAAATACTAATATTCTTTTAATTAGGTGGTATTTTATTTCAAACTCTTGGAATTGTTTGCTACAAATAAGTTATGATAAACTTCGCGCGTGGAATGGAACAGCAGAAAAAGCATCTGTTTATCAGCCATGTTTATCATGGTGTTTTGGTTCAGCACGCTTGGGACGTACCTGAGTTCACTCAGCTCTAATAGGTACCTGGCTCTAGTTAGGGAAAGAAAGGTCAAATTTTAAAACCTAACCAAAATACCATCATTCTAACCAAGCATTAGCCCTAGAAATAAAAAAAAAACTCTCTAACTTTAAACCTGACCTAATTCAAATCCAGACCCTAACTACTGTACCTTGGTTTGACTCTAATATCAATCCAAACAGCGTCAATGGATGGTAAAAAAAAACATATGTTTAATGACTTTTGTAAATTAAGCCTTTAGCGAAATATATCTCCAATACAAAAACCACTTCTTTCAAATACATTCTTACAGTGTATACATATCATTTTGTGACGTGTTTAAATAATGTTTATTCAAGTCTTTAAACCCAATCAATAATCGCTTCCAAATTCGATATAAAGTAACTGTTGCTTCGCTGTGCTTTACAAAAAAAATTAAAATAATTTACATGAAAATTTCATTAAAAAGCGATAAAAACTTTCGCTAAATAGAATTGCGCAACCTTAGCTTCGAAGTTACATCTATAAAAAAAACAAATTCCATTTTATTGATTTCAACTTTCTTTTGATCTTGTACGCTGTTAACGAACTGATGAAGATTTAAGCCGAGCGTTCAATTTACTTCGAGCCTCGATAAACCAATATTCATTCAATTAATCGCAGTAACCCCCCCCCCCCCCCACCCCCACCCCTTACCCCCACTCCCACTTCTTACATAATATTTCATCGTAATTGCTATACAAAAGTCTTCAAAGTACGTAGGCGTGCCCATAAAGAAAGTTTATCAACCCAAATCTCCAAACCAAAAGAAAATAAAAATAAATCCCTGAATCTTAGCCCAAGAACGACTACTCTCATCCCTCGTCTGTACCGCGAGCCGCTAGAGTTACCATTCGTATTTTACCCAAACTGCCGGGGTAAATTTGAATCGCGACGTCACAGGCTTGTGAGTCAATGGGCCCCTTAGGGCCCACCTGTCATCTTCAGCCCATACTTTAGCAGTCTGGTCTTTCCCCCCTCTCAACCTGATTCATTGTTTGGACAAGCCAAGGGACCAGTCGCTGGATGTTATTTCTACTTTCGCTTTCACCCTTACTTCCGGTTTTTTTTTTTTTTTTTTTTTCGTTTTCTAACAAAATCAATAATCAGCAAGTCTTTATTTTAAGCTGAGTAACATTATTATTGTTTTAACTTTCTTATTACAACTATATCAAGTACAAAGATTTACAATTTAATTCCAGGATATTATTTATCGCACTCCCGGATTTTCGAACTTTCTTTTTACCAGTAAAAGAGTCGTCCCAGGGAGTTAGTAATCTGTGTCTTACAAAGGATTGTTCGTAATACGAGGTGTTCGAAAATTGGAGCTTTTTTAGTTCCGTGTACCACAATATAATCGAACCGTTAGCAACAAAAATTTTGCAAGAAAAGAAAAATCTATATAATCTCAAATGTTGTCAAGAGTATTTTTCCCTCAAAGAACATATTATAGATAATTATTATTCTAAATATATAGTTTTAAAAAAACTGCTGTTACAAGCGTATTTATAACAAAAAAAACATGAATAAAGGCAACAATTTTCTCCATTTTACGTTATTTTATTGTTTCGCTTGTATTCTTTTATTTACATCATTACAAACAAACCTGCGTAAAAGCCTGCGCGTTCTTGCACAAACATACATCCACAAACATACATCCACAAACATGCATCCACAAACATACATCCACAAACATATCCACAAACACATCCACAAACACATCCACAAACACATCCTTCTCGCCCACAGCCGGCCTCACCACACGTACGATCTATCTGATAGCTATTTTATTGTCTATTCAACACACACCCCCACCCCCACTGGCCGAATTTAGCGGACCTCCATGGAGATATAGCTTTTAATCTGTTAGAGAGCAGTGAATATCACAGTGTTGTGGCCTAGTGGGCTACACATGACAATAGAAGTGTAGTGTAGTGTCAATTTACTTGTAAATGTAACCTTTTAGTACGAAGAATATATATATATATATATATATATATATATATATATATATATATATATATATATATATATATATACATATTTATATGTATTATATTATATTTATACATACATATATATGTAGGCCTATATATATTTATAATATATATATATATATATATATATATATATATATATATATATATATATATATATATATATATATATATATATATATATCCGACGGGAACTGAACTTCCTGCAATATCTCATTGAAATCTGTCTGGACAGCGTCTAGACACGACGTCAAATGAGCCCTGACTTTCCTACCAACACCCCCCCCCCACACACACACACACACATACACACGTTCTCCACACCCCGACATGCCCCCCCCCCCCCACTTACGTGTCTCCTACCCCACGTCTCGCCCGTAGTCCGGCTTATCAAATGCCGGGTCAATGACCTGAGTTCGTGTTACTGTACCCTAAATGTCCTAGACGGAATGTTATCTTGTGGGTAACCATGGAAACTCGAGTATATAGCCACACTGGTATATAATCGCTTCGTTAAATAATCATCCTGTTATCTAATCACTCGGTTATATAATCGCTTTGGTATATATTCGCTTTGTCATATAATAACCCTGTTATATAATCCCTTGGTCGTAATCACTTTAGCACATACAGGCTTTGTTATTTAATCACCCTGTTATCTAATCACTCGGTTATATAATCACTTTCGTATATAATGGCTTGACTCCTCCCCAGCTCTGAGGGGCACCTAACTCACGCTGAGCATAGTGCTGACCACACTGTCTCTTCATATGTTGTGGTCATAGAAACAGATGAACTCTACTTCATCTGCCTTATTAAACGCAGTGTATCGAAATCACCCTAACACTAACCATAACCCTTAACCCTAGATCTAACCCTAACACTAATCTTCGCCTTACCAACAACCTTAACCTAAACCCTACCCAGACACTAACCCTAACCTTTGTCCCTAACAGCAATCCCGCCATTAAAAATAATACTTCGATCTGTTTTTTATATTGCCCGGTCGCCTATCAAAAACAACTCTGTTGCCCTTTAAATGACCTTGAATAAAAAGAAGATTTCTATTCCAGAAATTTCTAGATCCATTAGTGCAGTTAACATTAGAGCACTTAACCAACATTATCTATCAAAAAGAATTTTTTTTTAAATAACGACCGGGAAATTTCTACGATTCAAACAAAAATTGAAACCAATCTATTTAGCTGATGACAGATGAAGAAACTCGACATTCAGTAGTCAGCGTATTCGAAAGTAAACCGACACCATTTGAGTTTAAGTGAGCTCATAGTAAACTTTAAACAATTTTTGACAAAGTGTCTTAAAGTTGGGTGCTGTATTGTGGGTCATTAATCTGTGAATGCATTTAGCGTCCCGTATAATGTGTGGTTTATGTGTCTTACTACATCGTTTTCCGGCAATTAGTTTGCAAACAAATTATCGAAAAAAAAACAAATCAAATAACAGTTATATTCGTTTTGATCAATTATATTACATTTTAAATTTTATTTAAAATAAATAATTAGTAGAAAATTTATATAAAAAACGGTTAAACTCAGTCTGTTTAATTACAATAGATCAGTCAAACAATGGTCAAAATGTTATTAGTTTAAAAATAATTTTGTTTAATATAGATATATCAAGAGATCATTACCTTTTACTTATTCATTAAAAAAAGGTTAATCTGTGTTGAAAGACAAGCGGAGACAAGTTGTGATCTTATACAATGCCCAAATATTAACAATGCTATTTTTATTTTAGCTTACGTATTATTTTCGAAGTGCTTATTTAATTAAATTATAGTTTTAAACGAACATTTAAAATATCTGACACCTTTCATCCTTCACGTTTTGATTCTACTGTGTCCACCACGATTACAAAACTGAATGTTATTCAGAGGCGTAGCGAGGGGGTGGATATGTTTAAGGGGGGGGGGGCAAATCGAAATCTTGAGGGGGGTGCAAATCGAAAGTTTGTCCCCGGGCGCCTGTAAGGGTCGCTACGCCTCTGGTGTTATTGAGTCAATTATATTGAAAACCCTTACTACAAAAGTAGATTTTAACGACTATTTTATTTTGACCACCATTTATAAAAAAAAGTAGGTGTTATCTAGTCCCTCATTTCGGTCAACACTATTACAAAAGTAAATTTAAAGACTCTTATTTCGAACACCACTTTTATCAAAAGTAGATATCAAGTCTCTAATTTCACCCATCACTATTACAAAACTAGATTTACTCAACACTCTTATTTTGGCTATCACTATAACAAAAAATAGATTTACTCAACATTTTTATTGTTCCCATCACTATTACAAAAATATATTTACTCAACACTCTTATTTTACCCATCACTAAAGTATACTGTTGACCTTCACCTTCCTGTTGTGTCTTTTTTCCAGATGCTTCCCTGGGTCAGAATAGAGGTCGCCACCGTCACTCTCATCGCCATCATCGTCACATGCGCACACGGACTAAAAATAGATTTCTCCCGCCTCGCTGGGCTCCATAGACCAAACTTACTCAAGCGTAACGACATGTGCACAGGTGAGTTCGTCTGTCTGTCCGGCATGTCATTTTCCCCCGTGTTGAGTCCCTCTATTTGTCCGGCCTATCATTTCCCTCCTGTTGAGTCCCTCTATTTGTCCGTCATTCCCCTCCCTGTTCAGTCCCTCTATTTGTCCGTCATTCCCCTCCCTGTTCAGTCCCTCTATTTGTCCGTCATTCCCCTCCCTGTTCAGTCCCTCTATTTGTCCGGCCTGTCATCCCCCCCCCCCCCCTGTTCAGTCCCTCTATTTGTCCGGCCTGTCATTTTCCCCCCTGTTGAGTCCCTCTATTTGTCCGGCCTATCATTTCCCTCCTGTTGAGTCCCTCTATTTGTCCGTCATTCCCCTCCCTGTTCAGTCCCTCTATTTGTCCGGCCTGTCATTTTCCCCCCTGTTGAGTCCCTCTATTTGTCCGGCCTATCATTTCCCTCCTGTTGAGTCCCTCTATATGTCCGTCATTCCCCTCCCTGTTCAGTCCCTCTATTTGTCCGGCCTGTCATTTTCCCCCCTGTTGAGTCCCTCTATTTGTCCGTCATTCCCCTCCCTGTTCAGTCCCTCTATTTGTCCGGCCTGTCATCCCCCCCCTGTTCAGTCCCTCTATTTGTCCGGCCTGTCATTTTCCCCCGTGTTGAGTCCCTCTATTTGTCCGGCCTATCATTTCCCTCCTGTTGAGTCCCTCTATTTGTCCGTCATTCCCCTCCCTGTTCAGTCCCTCTATTTGTCCGGCCTGTCATTTTCCCCCCTGTTGAGTCCCTCTATTTGTCCGGCCCATCATTCCCCGTCCCTCTTGAGTCCCTCTATTTGTCCGGCCTGTTATTCTAACTATCCCCCCCCCCCTCACCCCACCTCCCATGATTCACCTTCAACTTCATGCCCAGTCCATTAGTCTCCTCTGGAGCTACAAATTCTACCTGAACCTCAACTCAATTAAATTTAACAATACAATCTATTTCTGTTTTACATTAATAATGTCTTATCCTAAATATAAACGTTTTCTTTTTAAAAATAGTACGCGTTTGCTAATTTTTTTAAATATAAAGCTTGTTGCATTATTTTATTGTTTTTGGTGAACAAAGGGTAACATTTTTAATTATTTAACAATGTTTAAAAGTCTAAAAATAACTTAGCAATACTGACTTTTAAAGAAAAGAATACATTGTGTAATAACAACAAAGGTTTCTCATAATAGACAAATTGTTATGACCTAATTTATTATAGAATTTAAAAAACTCTTTTCCACGCTTCGACATAAATTATCAAAACTTTGTACTGCATTTTCTACAATTAGAACTCCCTTTAATATATATATATATATATATATATATATATATATATATATATATATATATATATATATATATATATATATATATAAAATTCAAATTGTTCCGTTTCTTTGGGGTTTTTTAATAAACCTTTTATTTTAGTGCACAACTTTTCTTCTATCTGACATTAATTAGAAAATTAACTTCCTCAGTTTCCTTACACTAAAATCCAATTCTTCAACATTTAAAAAAAAAATTCTTTAATCATCAAATAGCTCCGCTGTTTCTATTTAAATAAACTAAACAAAACAAAAAAATCTGGAACTTCCAAAAGAGTAGCGGAATCGTATCAGTATTCAAGGCACCCGCTCTCTCGTTCTTTTGGATCTTGACCAGCTTAGGCGCTTCAACTGACACCCGACCATCCCCCCCTCCCCCACCCCCACCTCTCTCTTCTGATAATGGCTGTCTGTCACACCCCCTTTTTTTTAGATTCACCTTTTTTTTTTCTCATTAACATTCCGGACCCGTGAGATCGTGACGTCATCCACAAGGCTATCAACGGTTTTGTTTTTGTTTTTGGCTATTTTTACTTTTTTTTTTATTTCTAAAATATCTTCCCATTTTGTTTTCAAATCTATTTTTGTGCCCGAGTACAAAAAAAAAATAATTGGAAAATATTAGCTTTATCAAAAGGACTTCCTGAACTTTCCTAAAATTAGCTACATTTCAATTTCCGCTGTTTTCATAGTACTCACGAATAGTACATTAAACTGTATATATATATATATATATATATATATATATATATATATATATATATATATATATATATATATATATATATTATTTACTTATGTATATATACATATATGTATATACATATATGATGCATCCATATATATACATATATAATATAATATACTATAAATATATATATATATATATATATATATATATATATATATATATGTGTGTGTATATATGTATATGTGTATGTGTGCGAGTATGTGTACGTATGTGTGTAGGTGTGTGGGTGTGTGGGTGTGTTCATATGTGTATGTGTATTCGCGGGCATGCGCGTGTTTGTGTGTGTGAACAATAGCTTATAGCTGAACACAGCAATATTTGGCAAAGGTAGCTATGTGTTTAAATATAAACATAAAACTGATTTTATTACAAACTATACAAGAACTCCAGCACAGTATCCGTCACAGTTATCCATTGGCTTCAGTCTCTGTTATTGGTGTTTAAATTGGGTGTTTGTTTGTTTTTTAAATCCATGTATACATTTTAGTTAAAAGTAGTGAATTTTCATGGGTGTTTTCTTGACTTTTTAGTCTCTGGCGGCCATATTGTGAGAACCACTTCCGGGTTTAACCCAGACGCCCTGGTCACGAGTTACACGACCCGGCATCAATGACGACAAATCCCTAGCAGACGACGTCTTGTCGGCTGCTGATTCCGTAAAGGTCGGCACTAGTACGAGGCTTAATACACTTTTTTATTTACCCTAGCTAAGGCGGGCTGGGTTTTATTTCGAGACCTCGTGATGGATTTAGTGAAATTTGACCAGCATGGTGTTCCGTACAAGTGAAAGAAAACCATATCGACCTTTTTTTTTAATTTATTTCTTAGATTCATTGATATATTTAATGAAAGATTGTCAGCATGGTATTCCGTATATCTGAAAGAAAGCCATATTGAGCTTTGTTTTTTTTTTTTCAGATTCATTGATAGATTTAGTGAAAGATTGCCAGTATGGTGTTCCGTAGACGACCAGTTAGATTGAGCTAACTCTAAATTTTAGACCAAGTGAAAGTTTATTAAATCATTACCAGCATGGTGTTCCGTACAAATAATCAATTGACTGAAAATTTAGAGAAATTATGATGGGCTTGGTATCCCGTACAAATAACGTTGACTCGAATTACTTGACATCGAACTCGAATAGACTACATAGATTTTTTTTTTTAATTTTCTCATGAACTATATAAACAAATATTCGTGGAAAGAACATTTTCCATGAAAACTATAACTCGGCCTAAACACAAGGGACAAAACTCCCTCCCCAACACCCCCCCCCCCCCCATCAACACACCACCGGAAAAAAATCTCCCTAACTACCTTCCTCCCCCATGCACGGGATAAGGCAAAAGTGCCTTACGCGTCACCCTACCTCCACCCCCCCCAACCCACGATACACATATGGAGAACCTCCTTATCCAATCTTCCCTAAGGTCATGCCCTGCCCTTCACCCAACCCTCTACAACCCCCCTCCACACACACACGTAACAAGGTCCACAACATATTCCACAATATACCCCGACACACATAGCACCCTACCTATCTCCACATCACATATACCACCCTCCCCTCCTACACACACACACGTAACAAGGCCCACAACATATCACCATATACCCCGACACACATACCCCCCCTCCCCCACCCCTCCTCTAACGATCTACACATTCAAAAACTTCTTTACCCTACCAAACGTCAGTTCCGCGTCCTAAAAATAGCTCACATTTACCGAATTCCAAACCACCCCGACCAAACTCTCTAAACCCCCCCCCCCCCCTTTTTATTTTAACTTCCGATTTAACAACAAAGGCATTCTATCCACTAGAGCTATAAAAAAAAATACGCCTGATTTTATTTTTTCCTTCTCAAAGCGATGTTAAATTTATTGTTTATTATTCGAAACTCCGAGCTTGTTCTAGCGTAGTGGTTGCGCATCGCTTCCCGCGCAAAATGGAGCCAACCAATCGATATGAAGCCAGCAGAAACCAACATGGCGTCGTGTATACCGAGACAATAGCTCCGGTAAAGGAACGCTAGAAAATGTCATCCTTGGCTAACTTTAAGTTGGTGATTGTTGATAGTTGATTATTGATAGTTGATTGTTCTTTTTTTTTTCTTTTTACTATCGACGTAAGGTCATTTTGGTTCTTTCTTTATACATGTCATTTTAGAATGATCGTAAAAATGTCAGATTCTGAATGCAAACTTAGCTTCTAAGTTGTGGATATATTGATTAAAACTGTATGAATAAAACGTAGAATTAGAGTTATTATTGTAGTTTTTTTTTTAACTTCGATGAAGTTGAAATTTAGATTTGTTTGTAATCCGTAAATCCACATAATTTTTATTATCGTGATCTTTATTTATTTATTTATTTATTTATTTTTATTTAAATCAGTTGACGAAATAATTTTGGTAGTAATAATGTTTGAATACACGTGAAAATAAGTTTACGAAAACCAAATAGAAACCATAAAAAAAAGTAATTTTCCCTTTCAAACCGAACGGTCTTTGAGGCAATTGAAGTAAAGTTCACTTGCTTCTTTGACCTCGTCAGCCGCCACTACTTTCCCTAACGTGAGGTACCCATCAGAGTTGGGTGGACTCAGGGACGGTCTACTGACTTGAACCCGGATACGAACTCGAGACTTACGGGCTAGCAGTCCAGCTCTCTACCGCTAGACCACTCCGTCAAATAGAAACCATAAGCAGATTAACAATAACAGGACCATGTAAGGGGGTTACGAGGCTAAGTCTCAATCAGTTCTAGCGTTGTAAACACATCTATGCTTCTCTATTCTTTGTTACCAATCAGAGCCCAACCACACCCAAGGAATGATTGTGATTGTGTCAAAACCTATTAGCGTCATAAGTCAGTGGTGGTAGGATGGGGGGGGGGGGGGGGTTCGGACCGTACTTGGTGACCTC